ATTCAATCCCACAGAAACCAAAAATAAAAATGTGTGAGGATGTAGTTGACATAAAATAAGTATTTTAGGGTGAAAGAAGATGGCAAGTAGAACGAAACACCAAAACTCTTTGTTCCTTTTCACTTTCACTTGATTTCTCTCCCTGCTTCAGTTCCTGCCTTGCAGTTGTGTTCTCAGGAGTTGTGTCATTAGCTCTTGCAGGCTGCCAATATGGACAGAAAAATAGAAGTCAAATGAACCTTCATTGCCCTGTAACTGCCTGCATTACCACCAATAGGCCACGAGAATATGATCACGATAACAGGGTGGTTGTATTAATGAATAGAGTCACCTAAGGTTGTGGTATGGATACTGATTGTAAGTTTTACTCTGTTAATTGACACCATGAAAAGTTCAGTATAATTAAAACTTGTCTTGCATATGTAGCCACAGTCAAATGGACAGAACTCAGATAATTCCTTATGACTGAAAGACGTCACAAGACAGAGATATGGTAAGGGAATTTCATATTGTACCCATTCCACTGGTCACGTGGGTTAAAATTAGAATCTATAGAAAACAACTCCTATGGAATCTAACAACTTGCTATTGGTTCTAATAAAAAGGTAGGCTGATTGACATTGGTTTCAAAACTAACAAAAAGACCAGGTCAACCCCTTAAGTCCCACTAGTGACCAAGACAGAATTTCTCCTTACACTATCAGTACAATATCAAGCAGACGAGTAAAGAGAATAAAGAAAATATCAATGAGGGGATTATTAGTTGATCCAATTCCAAATTCTCCAAACTAACATTATATGAATTGTATGGCAGACAGTAAGGAGAATTACTAATGAGATCTTGGGAGTTAAAGGGTTAAATAAAACTGACTGTGACATTTATTGGGTGGTGTGACATGGTTTTACTCAATCATGAAATTATCTTGATTGGCCAGGACTTCCCAGTGTTTCTAAGTAACCAGAATAAAGAGAAAAGTGCTTTGTCCTGATGGTAAAGCACCTTGCCCTGGTTGTTGAAAGGCTGAATGGTGCTATCCACTGAATAAATCTCTATCTGATGGATAACGCTATATGCTTTGTAACACCTATCCACTGGATAGGGATTTTTACTTTTTTCTTAGAGGTCACGGAAACGAATCCTGCAATCTGATTGGTTCTTAGTACAGTCCATATTTTCCTATCTCTGCCCACGGGCAACGGTAACGCTTTCATAAGTCACCGAGTACATCCCTACACCAGTGACTAAATACAGGAATGGCTCCAACCTGTAATTGGATGATAAAAATAGTAAAAGTTAATAAGTTATATCTTAACTCCTTGCTCGTGAGTATTGTTTACCCGTGTGTCTCGAAGCGGAACAATGAAATATCAATGCAAGTGAAAACACCGATGTATCAAACAAGAAATGGTTACTAACATAACGAAGGGATTGCAGAGCCTTTCTTGTCCAATGAGGTAGTTTAGCGTTACTCTGCCGATGACAGAGTTATTCACTGACTAGCTCCGCTGACTAAGCTCATTTAGCCAGTTCAGGCGGACGATCAGAGACTGGAGCCATTCCTGTATTTCACCACTGACAGGAATAGCTCCTACTCATGCGTTCATTATTTTATTTTTTATTGTTTTTGCCATTCGTTTTGGCTAAATAATTTATACACTGAGATAAAAACTGAAAGAGCGTTTTACTACGTTCCTCCTATATTGAACTCTACAATGCTTTTAAATGAAGCCCTCTTTTATTAATGCAGGGCCATGTACTTCTTCAGTAATATTTATTATATGATCAGTACGACCCCCCCCCCCCGGGCGCTTTTATCAAAACAATTATAAGTAAATCCCCGTGTAAGGGTCTGCGAGATGCGAAAGTAGAGAGAAAAAGACAGTGTGACACTCATATAATAAAATTCTTAATGATTGAGTAAGGTCGTGAACAGATGTTTGAATGTGGGTAGCTTCTTGAAGACAACCCTAGTCAGTTCCCACGCCCAGAAAATAGCTCCATGGATCCTGACTACCGGGAAGCATCTAGTGATACTGCATACCACAACAGCACCAACGAGATAAACCTCTACGAGACTGTCTTAATAAAGGAATTGTGGGCGAGAATGGGGAAAGTACCATAGACAGGACAAAACAATCCCTCAAGGCGAAATTGCTCAGAATGATCGATGATGTTGAAGTCTGTGAAGATGAAGATGCGCTGCAACAGTTAGAGAAAAGTGTCAATTCCTCTTATAGTTTGTTCACTTCGATGGTGCTGCACAAACATACGACAAGTACACTGTCGGCTGCTATACCTAAAGGGAATGCACCTGAATCAAAAAATTGAGGTCCAGAAACATTTCTTTTCCACCAAACGAAAGACACAGAAGAGAAATGTCAGGTTGGAAAAACCAACCAAGGAACAGAAGATGGAGATGATTGAGAATTGGAAGAATAATGAGCAATCAGAGCAGAACAACAGCAAAGTAGCTGTCGATTTCACATCCGGAAAAACGATGGCACACAAGGTTTGTTGTGCTTCATTGTTTGAAATTTTTTCTTCCTTGCCTATCACACCTGTCTCACCTCACCATCTTTTTATTTCTCTGGTAGGGTTGCAAGAAATGCTTCCCTGGTTTACTAAGGAAAAACATTACTCCATTGAAGACCTGGTTAAATCTGCCATTAAACTGTCTGTTTCTGACGTATTGGATACAAACGAGGCATCTTTGATACCCGGAGAGGCAGTAGAAGCTAACTTAGCAGATTTGAAGAGGTTTATTACAGATGGTGCCTGGAAAGCAGTTTGCAAATTAGGTTAGGATGGCTCGTGTACCTTACAGGAAACGTGGTCTATGTTACAGTACACTAATTCTTTCTTAAATTTACGTGGTATAAATACCTTGTCTAGAACAGTAGTAATATAATAGCAAACGAGATGTATACGTTCCAAAACAGCGTCATGTGATGAACAGTCTTCATTAGTTTTGAACAAGTTTCCTAAAATCATTTTACTCTTTCTGGTTTTAGCCGAAAACTGTCCGAAGACTGATTGTGCCATCACTATGCAAAAAAAAAAAAAGAATTAAAAGCACCAGTCGGAGCCATTCCTGTCAGCTATGAAATGTAGGAATAGCTCCAGTCTCTGATCGTCCACCTAAACTGACTAAATGAGTTTAGTCAGCGCAGTTAGTCAGCAGATGACTTAGTCATCGCCGGAATATCGTTGGAAGACCCCGCTGAATGAGAAAGAAAGGCTCTGCCTTCCTTTCGTTATGTAAGTAACCATTTCTTGTTTGACACATCGGTGTTTTCACTCGCAGTGTTATTTCATTGTTCCGCTTCGAGACACACGGTTAAACAATATTCACGAGCAAGGAGTTAAGACATAACTTATTAACTTTTACTATTTTGATCATCCAATTACATGTCGGAGCCATTCCTGTATTTAGTCGCTAGTCATCCCTACCTTCGCAGCCATTTTTCATAAAAATATCTTGTTTTTCCGGCTGGGCAGTATTTTTAAGCAAAGACGTTGGTCACTACCTCAAGCCGATAAATAACTTATTGATCCTCTCTTTTCTCTCTCTCAAATCACTTTGGTGAACAGAAAAATATTGGTTTCGAAATGAATTCGTATGAGAAAAAGTGTCATTAAATTGGTTGACAAGCGGCCTAAAACCCGCCTGTAAATAATTTGAATCCTTCACAGAAAGTACCTACAAAGTTAAAACGTGAGGAATTTGGTTACAATTGAATTCATCGATAAAACTTTCATTCATTTAATATCTGAATTCTCTCACAATTTGTTCGTAGTTAAAAGGCGAGCGAAGTTTTAAGTTCTACTACAAAGACCCTTTTGCTGAGTCTTTGCAAGTCCGTTCAGTTTAGAAATTTGGGAATTCAACAAGAAAAAGCCGCATTAATTCCCCTTGTGCCTAATTGAAGTGTCCCATTCGAATATGGTTTTTGTGGAGAAAAGACCAGATTTACACATGCCAATGCAGTAAACAAACGAGCAAACTCTCACAACTTCAAAATCAAATATTTGAATTTACTTACAGTTACTTTCCTTGCCATTTACTTACTGAACGGAGGTAAATCTTCGTGTTAGTTTCGAAACACTTAGTTAATTACACCTTATTATAGCTTTGTTCTGATTCATTTCTAAGTCTTTCGTTAGTTAATGATTATTACAGTAAGTTTGTTATCTCCGATCAAATTTCCACTTAAGTGCACGTGTAAAGATTCTATTTCAATCGTCGCTTTTAGTCATCGCTGCTAAATCATCACTGCTAAATCGTCGCTGCTAGATAATGGCTACAAGCTATTTACTGCCGTTAGGAGCTAGACCAAAGTAAGTTTTAATTTCTTTTACATTTACGTTATTTACCTTTTGTATGTATTATTGGTATAGTTTTCGTATTCTGTTTTCCGTGCAATCGCTTCATTTCTAGTTAGGTTAATGTTACATTTAGCAACGCATTTTTCTTAGTTTCTGTTGTAATTTCCTTTAGTTCGAACCACACGCACGCAACCTCAACCGCTACTCTCATCAAGCAAATTTCGTCTTAGCGCTAGCATCTAAAAACAATAAAGATCACTGTGTGCGTTTGAATTGTCCGCTCGATGTTTTGGGTAACCTTTTGAGGTTACATTCGTTCGAGTTTGGCAAATCTCCAGTTATTCTTACATCTACCACGTTTGGTTCGAGTTTTTAAGCGAAGTTACTGAAGAAATAGCCATTTGTCGCATCAAACCTTCGACCCCGCTTTCACGTGTGGAAATTCACGACGTGACAAACGGCAAGATATGTAACAAACGATCACGTCCTCAGGAAATCGATTTAAAACATGTCGAAGGAAAGCGAAGTCGAATAAATAAATCCACGCATTGGAGAACGAAATCCCACCCTCGACTGGGACGGAATCGACTCAGAAAGTTTTGATAGATTAAAGAGAACTAGAGGCGCAAAGAAAGGTATCGTTACGAAAGCACAAAATGAAATACGCGAACTTATGTTAGATTTCGGAAACATTGAACTAGTCCAAAGAAAGGTGCAGATTCTGCAAGAATTCGAGGGCGCCTACGCCGCTTATCACGAGCAGCTAAAAAAAAGATCGCGATATCGATGAGTCGAACGCCTACTTTGTCGAAGTAAAGCGTGGAATAGAGGATATCACAGGAGATGTAACTGGGTAGTGTCATCGGAACACGTCAAGGACTTCGGTAGATTATTATCGCCAGCACGTGCCATTACGGCGGGGCCGGATACCGAGATAAATCCCGACGATTCAGCGAGTAATAATGTACCTTCTCGAGCGTCCCACCTCATGGGGCTCCAAAATCTCTCGTTGTTCCAAGTCAAGTTCGGCGGCGAGCTCTCGCGCCTCTTCAGCATCAGCTGCAAAAAAAAAGGCCAATCTACGAAGCTATGAGGCAATTCAGAAGGAGGAGCTAGCACCACAACTTATGAAGAAAGCTCTCTAGCTACAAACAGAAATCGCAAAGGCACAAGCAGAAGAACTCGTTTACGGCGCAGCTGAAGCGTCTTATGTCGAAAATTCTGCCTCGCTTTTCAGACAGGAAGATAAATCTGTGGCACTCCCACCTCCTCAAGAATTCACCGCAAAACAGCAGCCAATACCTCCGAATGAGCTACCTTTAGTTCAACGAGAATCTCGACCTCAGCATGACCAAGAGGAACCAAAAGCAGAACGCGTAGAGAGAGAAGCTCTGAATCCTAACGCGAGGAGCTGGGTCCCTTTCCACGATGGAGAAATTGATCGTAAGCCACGCTTGAAATCGCTCGACGCCCTCAAGACTGGAGAGATGAACGATGTCAAACTGGTTCTCCGCGACCTTACCGCGACTGACGGACTGGCCTGTACCATACTGGAAGCGCAATACCAGCAAAATCAGCGAATTCAGGAGCTCATTCAGCAACAACAGCATAGTACACTTGCCCTCACTTTGCCGGAGTCAGAAGTGCCAACCTTTAGTGGCAACCCTATTGAGTATTGGTCCTTTGGACAAGCATTCGAGAACCTAATCGAGAGTAGAACGACCAGTAACAGTGCTCGCCTGTATTACTTAGTACAATACACCTCAGGCGAAGTGCGTGAGTTGATGAGGAGTTGTCTAGCTATGAAACCCGAAGACGGATATCAAGAGGCGCGCACTTTGCTGAAGGACAGATATGGCCAAAGTTATCGCATAGCGACCGCGTACGTTGAAAGGCTCACCAATGGACCGCCCATCAAAGCCGAAGATAGCGTCGCATTACGTCGATTCTCAGTTCTTCTAACTGGATGGACGAACACCGTTGGTGACACTGGATATCTCAGCAAAGCCGAGAACCCGGAAACACTAAGAATGATCGTCAAGAGACTGCCCTAAGGCCTAAAGTTGAAATTGCGTGATATTGCAGGAGGCATCACCGAAATTCAGAAGAGAGAGACTTGAACGACTTCGTTAAGGCCAAAGCGAGAGTAGCCACGCACGCTATATTCGATAACGTATCGAGTCATCCTCCGACGCCACCATCAGCTATGAAAGAGAAGAAGAAGCCTTCCCCTTTGCGACCTGCGTCACCGTACGGAACGAAGCCCGCACCGATCAAGTGAACAAAGAAGCCAGCAAAAAACGCATCCAAATCATATGTCTGCTTTGTAATTCTAATCATTGGCTCTTACAATGCGTCAATTTCAAGGCTAAATCCCTCGATGAGAGCCCCAAGTTCGTACACTCCAAAGACCTCTGCATTAATTGTCTTGTTCATGGCCATGCTGTTAGTTCCTGCCCCAAGGAGAGTTTTTGTCGAGTAACCGGATGTAAGGAAATTCATTCGAGCTATCTTCATCCCCGCGATGCACCTGCTGCGACTGGACGCGATTCTGCACCTGCAGTGACTAACCTCTCAAGTCAACCCAGCAACCAAGCGTTGAATGGCTATGTTAAGGGAAAAGGTGATAGTCGCTGTGGCGAAAATGACGGCAAACTTGCGTCCGCAGCCGGATTAGCACTACTGCCTCTTAAGGTTAAAGCACCAGGTCTCGACAAGATCGTGGAAACCTACGCATTTTTGGATAATGGTTCCAATACTTCTTTCTGTTCAGAGGGACTCATTGCAGAGCTTGGCATTAATGGACGAGAAACAACATTGTCACTGACAACCATGGAAAGCAAAAACACCAGCATCAAATGCTTAGCAGTTGACCCTGACATTTAGTTTTTAGGCCGAAGCGTTTCAACCTTGTTTTATGTTTTTAGTTAAAGGCAATCAGCTGTTTCCGCCTTTAAAGGGGCCGGAATGTTAGTTACGAAACGCTTAGTTAATATACACTTTATTATAGTTTTGTTCTGGTTCATTTTTATCAATAAGTCTTTCGTTAGTTAATGATTATTACAGCAAGTTTGTTATCTCTGATCAAATTTTTATTTAAGCCGGTGCACGTGTAAAGATTCTATTTCATCGTCGTTATTAGTCATCGCTGCTAAATCATCACTGCTAAATCGTCGCTGCTAGATAATCGCTACAAGCTATTTGCTACCGTTCGCTGCAAGCTATTTACTATCGTTAGGAGCTAGACCAAAGTAAGTTTTAATTTCTTTTACATTTACGTTGTTCACCTTTTGCATGTATTATTGGTATAATTTTGGTATTCTGTTTACCGTGCAATCGCTTCACTTTTAGTTAGGTTAATGTTACATTTCGCAACGCATTTTTCTTAGATTAGTTTCTGTTGTATTTTCTTTTAGTTCGAACCACACGCACGCAACCTCAACCGCGACTCTCATCAAGCAAATTTCGTCTTAGCGCTATCATCTGAAAACAATAAAGATCACTGTGTGCGTTCGAATTGACCGCTCGTTCTCTTAGGTAATCTTTCGAGGTTACACTTCGCACACTAATTCATCGTCGTTGAGAGTGAATAATACTTTCCGTCTGCTTTTAAAGAAAACAATGTCGCGACAGTCGTTGCCAAACTAGTTCCGTTGTTTTTTCAAAAGTGTACCTGCGTTTTTCTTTCTTACGCGCTCTCTAATTGGCAGGTGTCAGAGTGTGACAGATACTTGTAAAAATAATGTTTCAAAGTTGTTGAAAGCCTTTTAAATCACCTTTATCAGTACGCAAATGAAAATGTTTCGATGACGCCTCTCTCTTTAGTCTGCATCACCTCTATTTTAACTACCATTTACTTGCTCAAAAATTATTCAGTTTATGGTTACGAGCAGCCCCTTCATATTAAAGTAAAAAATATCAGAGGAAGCTACAATCATGTGAAACAAACAAATATACTTATTGTGATAGAAGCAGTGATAAGCTGGTGTAAACAAAAACAACCCTATCAATGGATTTCAAACCTTTCATCCTAATAAGGCATTTTTCTCTTGTTTACAGGGAATATTCCAGTGTCTAAGAGGTAACTTTACCTTCCAATCCAATTTTTCTCTTGTTTACAGGAAATATTCCAGTGTCTAAGAGGTAACTTTACCTTCCAATCCAATTTTTCTCTTGTTTACAGGGAATATTCCAGTGTCCAAGAGGCAACTTTACCTTCCAATCCCTTCCATGGTACCCATAAATGAGAGTTAGTTTCATTCAAGCTATAATGAATAACACTTTAGATAAACTTTTCACTTTTTATGGAGATGCTAAGGGTGTAAAAGAG